CCGAAGTGGGGTGTCTTGTGGCGAGGGCAGCGGTGGGCCAGATCCGGTCTGCCAGGGTTAACCCCTGGCAGGCCCCCCACACCTCTGTATTTACCTGCGCCTCTCAGGTACGGGGAACACAGCTCCCATTGGCCACAGTTTGCCGTTCCCGGCCAATGGGAGCTGCGATCGCCCGGACCTGCGGAGATGCAGGTCGATAGAGCATCAGTGGCCCAGCAGGGCTAACCCTGGCGAGCTGCTGCTCAGTCTCCTCTGTCCAGGCAGCCTTGAAAACCCCTGGTGAGTTGTCCAGGGCCTAGGCCATATCCCCAGTCCCTGAAGGGCAAATCCTTCAGCTCTGGTTAGAGGGGCCTGGCGTGGCGGGGACGACGGCCTGCAGGACCTCCTCCAGCGTCCAGCGGGGAGCCCCCTTCCCAAGGTGGCAAGAGGGCAGGTAAACTCCGAGCACCACGTCCCTTATGCATGGAATGAGGTTTCCAGGGCCGTTAGAATAGCGAGCCCAAAATAACAGGCTTGCTGTGCAGCTGCGGGATAGCGATTTCCGGATACTCCGGTCTCCCGACATAGCGTTGCCGTGCGGCCATAGCCCTGAAGGCTCACGCACACAGGTGTGGGCTAACCGGTCTGTTAGCTGCCCAAAACCAGCTGCTGCATGGAGTTCACTTTGACCCTGCAGGCCTGAATGCCCCCAGCTCTCACCAGCTGATGCACTGGCTTTCCCCATGGTGCTGAGGTGCTGTGGGCGTAGGCCCCTGTCGGCACCAGCACCTGGAAAGTCCTGGGGGGCTGGTTCTCAGGAGACTGTGCAGCCGTGCTGGACTGTTAAAGCCACTCCTGCCCTCATTCCTGAGCGCTGGCACTGGACACTGGAGGCTAGTCGCATTTCCTGGACTCTCCCTCCATGCAAGGGGCTGTGGTGTGAATGAGCTCTTGAGGGTTTGTAAGTGCTCAGGTTTAATGAGGGCCAGGTGGGTCACAGGTAAGGCAGACAGGAGACATGGTTCTCACTTTGCCTGTCGCTTACCGTGGGCACGTCCCAGCTTTCTCGGTGCCGCCGTCTCGCCGCCTGTAACAGGCCCCCGCGCGCTTTGCCTTCTCCCTCCATGCAAGGGGCTGTGGTGTGAATGAGCTCTTGAGGGTTTGTAAGTGCTCAGGTTTAATGAGGGCCAGGTGGGTCACAGGTAAGGCAGACAGGAGACATGGTTCTCACTTTGCCTGTCGCTTACCGTGGGCACGTCCCAGCTTTCTCGGTGCCGCCGTCTCGCCGCCTGTAACAGGCCCCCGAGCGCTTTGCTCCAGCCTGTTACGCCTGGCCACAAAACGCCTGGAGGTCTCACTTAGATGGGGGTGTGCGAGCCACGATTCGACGTGCGGGGGGCCGGGAAGGGCCCCTTTGCCTGGCTCGGCTCTGCCACCTGCGGCTCTGTCCCCGGCTTGCGAGTTTGCTGCTTTCCCAAAGTGCTCCAGCCTTGGCTGGCTTTGCAGGGCCTGAAACGAAGGGGAGGTTTGGGGCCAGCTCAGCAGCCAGCGTGAGGCGAGGGGGCTTTGTGAAGGGAAGTTACCTTGCCGTGCCAGCTGCGCTGGGAAGGCCAGCCTGCCTTTTCTGCCGCTGACTCAGTGGAAGCCGGACATTGTAATCTACATCAGACGCAGGGGAAGTGGCAGCTTGTTCCATTGTGTCTGGAACAGTAAGTGGACGGCTGGAACAATCGCAGAGCTGGTTTTCCAGATGCCCTTTCAGGAGCAGGCATTCTCTCCAGCTCCTTCCCTCCCCCTGATCCGGGCGGTGAAATCCTTCCAGGATGAGCCCGGGTGGGGGGAAGCGAGAGCCCTTTCCCAGGCAGGCTCTGCTTCCTTCTTTCATATTAAAAACCGATGTCACCGCACCAGGCCAGGCATTTCTCAGGCACTGCGAGTTTGTTGGGTCTCAGCTTGGGGCCGGGCGGCTCTTGTGTCCATATCACAGCCCGAACCTTAGGGCTTCGCCCGGCGGGCAAGGAGGGCGGAGGTGCCACCCGCGCTGAAAGCCGAATAATAACCATGCTGCCGCTGGTTGAAAACAAACCTCCCTTTCTGTCACTGAAGATGGGGGGGGGGCAGCCGGGCAGAGCTGTGGAGAGCGACTGCCCGGCGAAATGCTGTGCATTTGAAACGAGACCACTAATTAGGAGCTGTCACCTGAATCTCGTGTTGTAAGGCGCTGGTTAAAAGAGGCAGCAGAGATGCAGGGTTTGGAGAACATGAGCCGGGGTATTAGCTTCAGCGACTAGCCCAGTGGATTGTTATAAAATCTCTGTGCACATGTGACGGAGCAGACTTCGGCCAACTGTTTCTTTTCCGGCCTTTGAAATGCTCGAAATACATTTTTAAAGTGCCTTTAGGCTGACCGCAGACAGGGCATGTGCTCCAGACCCTGGGGCTGAACTGGTCCGGAGCAGGGCTGGCAGAGCCGGCTGCATTTCCCAGGGTAGAGGCAAACGTTGCCCGAGACAGAAGGCCTCTGGGCCAGCATGTTCACTGGTCACTAATGTACAAACAAGCCCAAATTCAGGGGCGGAGCCTTTCCCGGTGGACCCAATCCGGACGCCCTCGCTTCTTGCTCAGCGCACACTCCGGCAGACCCTCTGCCTGCAGTGAACGGGCGGTTCTGGATCCTGCCTCTTGGGGCCACCTTTTCAACCCAGGCATGCGCCTCCTTACGGCCATACGCAGGACTGCGTCGAAGCAGCTTCTTTTTCAGATTGCTGCGCACCTGCAGCGCCCGTCCCTTTGCACAGGATTGCTCAGCACCTCGGGGAATCGGGCTGTCCCCCGTCATTTGCACTGAGGAACTTGACGTTAGGCGGCTGGGTGTGAAAGGTTTGGCTCGGGGTTTGGCCCGCTGGTTGTCAGGGGCGCTGGGCCCCCATTCCAGATGGCCCCGGGGGCTGCAGGCTACATCAGAGCAGGCAGCGGTGAAAGCAGGCATCAGTGTGTCGCAGGCAGCAGTGAAAGTAACCGAGAATTTCTTACAGGTCTCGCCCTGTTGCAACCTGGGGTCCTGCCAGCTCCTTAGCTAGCTCCCCGGCTGGCTTTTGCCGCAGCCCAGCCGGCTTGAAAGCCGAATAATAACCATGCTGCCGCTGGTTGAAAACAAACCTCCCTTTCTGTCACTGAAGATGGGGGGGGGGCAGCCGGGCAGAGCTGTGGAGAGCGACTGCCCGGCGAAATGCTGTGCATTTGAAACGAGACCACTAATTAGGAGCTGTCACCTGAATCTCGTGTTGTAAGGCGCTGGTTAAAAGAGGCAGCAGAGATGCAGGGTTTGGAGAACATGAGCCGGGGTATTAGCTTCAGCGACTAGCCCAGTGGATTGTTATAAAATCTCTGTGCACATGTGACGGAGCAGACTTCGGCCAACTGTTTCTTTTCCGGCCTTTGAAATGCTCGAAATACATTTTTAAAGTGCCTTTAGGCTGACCGCAGACAGGGCATGTGCTCCAGACCCTGGGGCTGAACTGGTCCGGAGCAGGGCTGGCAGAGCCGGCTGCATTTCCCAGGGTAGAGGCAAACGTTGCCCGAGACAGAAGGCCTCTGGGCCAGCATGTTCACTGGTCACTAATGTACAAACAAGCCCAAATTCAGGGGCGGAGCCTTTCCCGGTGGACCCAATCCGGACGCCCTCGCTTCTTGCTCAGCGCACACTCCGGCAGACCCTCTGCCTGCAGTGAACGGGCGGTTCTGGATCCTGCCTCTTGGGGCCACCTTTTCAACCCAGGCATGCGCCTCCTTACGGCCATACGCAGGACTGCGTCGAAGCAGCTTCTTTTTCAGATTGCTGCGCACCTGCAGCGCCCGTCCCTTTGCACAGGATTGCTCAGCACCTCGGGGAATCGGGCTGTCCCCCGTCATTTGCACTGAGGAACTTGACGTTAGGCGGCTGGGTGTGAAAGGTTTGGCTCGGGGTTTGGCCCGCTGGTTGTCAGGGGCGCTGGGCCCCCATTCCAGATGGCCCCGGGGGCTGCAGGCTACATCAGAGCAGGCAGCGGTGAAAGCAGGCATCAGTGTGTCGCAGGCAGCAGTGAAAGTAACCGAGAATTTCTTACAGGTCTCGCCCTGTTGCAACCTGGGGTCCTGCCAGCTCCTTAGCTAGCTCCCCGGCTGGCTTTTGCCGCAGCTCAGCCGGCTCCTGCCGGAGCTGCGTCCCAGGGCGCCGCCGCGTCCTTTCACCTCTGCGCCGCCAGCTTTGCAAGGCGGTGGGAGTGAGTTTCTTAGCGAACGCTGCGCTCCCCGCACCCTGGCACAGAGCAGCACCGGGGGGCCCCTACGCAGGCGCTGGCTCCCTTTGTGCCCTAATCAGCAGACAGACAATGGGAGTTTTGAGGGAGAAGTGGCTTGCCTGAAACAAGAGGAATTGTGCATTGTGTTTCCGCAGGCTTGTGTTCCAGAGGGGTGGGGCCGGGGTTGATCCCCTACATTAAGCCAGCCCCTCCCTCCTCACATGACAAAGCAGATGTTTTGTCTCCCCCTCCCATGCAGATTTTCCTCTTTTGTGTGGACTTTTGTTTCTCTTTTTTCCCCCCACCAAAGGCTGCAACTGCTAAAAGGCGTAAGTCTCCCCAGAAGGACAAGTCGGGCTGTATAGTAACAGAACCCCAAAGACACTGAAATGTGAGTGCCGCCCACGCCCCCGTGCACTCCAGACACAACTTGCATGTTGTCATCTGTTGCTTTTACTTAGCTGCCTTTAATCAACTTACCAGTTGATTGTATTAGCGTCACTGCCAGCTAATACCTCTTTGACAAGGTCCCTAGCACAAACATGGTGCTTCTTGGGGATCCTTCCCCGCCCAACACCCTGTCCACAGGGCGAGACTTTACCACCCCATCCTCATTTGGTACCTCCACCGTGGGCTGGGCTTTCATCCTGGAGGAGTGACGGGGCTTTTGCAGAGCAGCCGTTTGCCCCGCATGTACCTGACTCTTAACCTGTCCCTGTTTTCTTCTCTCTTTCTTTCCAGAAGGTGATGCTTCCTACAGGAGCTGCATTCAGATGGTTTCAGTAGGAATGAGAATTCCAAAGCTCTGTCATCCAAGTGCAATGTCACTGCTTGCTTGTGTTGTCTCAGGCAAGGAATTTTTTGGCTGAAAATGAATGGATGCACCCGCGCATGTACCTGACTCTTAACCTGTCCCTGTTTTCTTCTCTCTTTCTTTCCAGAAGGTGATGCTTCCTACAGGAGCTGCATTCAGATGGTTTCAGTAGGAATGAGAATTCCAAAGCTCTGTCATCCAAGTGCAATGTCACTGCTTGCTTGTGTTGTCTCAGGCAAGGAATTTTTTGGCTGAAAATGAATGGATGCACCCGTGTCTCTTTAGAACCAAAAATATTTTCTCGCAGATTTCATTCCTGTTTTTATATATATATTTTTTTTGCGTTTGTTTTAACATCTCCAAGTCCTAGTAAAACATTTAACTGCTTTTCGAATAATAATAATAATAATAATAATTAATAATAATAAAAAAAACGGATCTGTAAAGTACCAAGACTTAATAGACAGAGTATGGACAATCAGTTTCTTTCTGTGTTTTGGTGTTGATGTTGTTTATGTGTGGAAGATGCAGTTCTTGTGTAGAGAATGTAAATTTACAGTAACCTTTTAAAATCTAGTTACTAATAAGCACTACTGTAATTTAGCACAGTTGTTTAATTACACCCTCATTTATACTTTTTATTTGATTATTTCCCATCATAAAATAGAGTGGATAGTTTCTAGAATGCCTCAACTTCATGTTTATAAATGAGAATATGTTTAAAACGATGTAGTGTCCCTTTTCCTAACCATTCACGTATGTAAGTTTAACCAGCAAAAAGTTTGGTATTAAAGGTGAAAGAAAAATTGCTGCAAAATGGGCAGTCTTGGAAAAAAAAATCCTTGTTAGTTTATTAATATAGAACAAGAAGTACTGCATACAGGGAAAACAAGATCCTAATTGCAAATCATTTTTTATAAACTTACTGAAGTTCTAAGAAAAATAAAAAATATATTGCAGGACCTGTGCTGAAGCAAGTTATGAAAACTAATATTTCTCTTATGTTCCAATCCCCGTCTTTCCAGCTCTCTCTACATCAGTACATTGAAATGCTGTTTGTAATGTTTTAGCGATCCAGGCTGTTTTGTGAATAAAATGAATGCATGTTTTGTGTCAGGATTTACATCTCGGGTTTTTTTTCTGTCCATTTTTGTTGCACGCAGTTGTGGAAAAAAAAAACCTTAAAAAAAAATGTCCCTTTTAAAGATGTCACTCCTGGTTTCATGGCATTTTGCTAAGTTTGCCTTTTTTTTGGCAGTTAGGGTTTGGGGTGTATTTTTTGGTTTGTGTTTCAGTTTTGTTTTTTTATCAGCAGATTACAAAATAAATAAATGAGTGAACTGTAAATGTTTGCCAGTGCAAATGGAGCAATCAAACATTTTCCCCCTAAGGTTGCATATGTTACATTTTGAACTGGTTAGCTGACTAGCACATGTTCTGCAAAATACATACTGTGTTAAATCTGGGTTTGTTACAGAATCCTTAGGAGTCTATAAACCAAACGGTGCAAGGCTTGAGCGCTAGAATTTTCATTACAGGCAGCATGTGGAAAACCAAACCTCAGAATCCTTGGAAACTGACATAGGGTTGGTGGCAAGTTTGTTGGGGAATTGACAACGTGTGCCTGGCGATGGAATCAGCACTGCAGTCCCGTGTATCAACTGAGGCCAAACACGATCGGAAATGATGGGTGTTATTTTCAGGAGCGATCCGTGTTTGCCTAGGCAACCGTTGCCCGCCATGGCAGTAGAGATGGATCGACACAAAGGGGGTTGACAGTCCCATCTTCATGGACAGATGTAATCAGTGACCGATGCGTTTCGGAAAGAGGAGTCGCACTCAATAAATGGTGTCCAACCCACGAGCGTTCTCATTGTTGCTGTTTCCCCCTGCTTACCTTGCTTGGGTCCAAAGCCACCGCCCCGCAAGCGAGCAGGACTGTGACGCTGTTTCTTAGGCCCCGGATCATAGCGCTCCAGCTTTGGCAAGTGCGCTGGGGACCTGACCCAGTGCCCCGTGAGGTCAACAAGAAGGCTGGTTTGGATTCCACTGGGAACGGGACCTGCCCCTGGTTGGCCAGGGCAGTATCTCTTTCCTTCTTCCTTCCTAACAAACAGCTGCAGGGAGATTTCTCCTGCTCCTCATTTCAGTGGCAAGGTCCAGACCTCCACAGCTGTTTTCTCCAGAGACAGGTCCCAACCCAGGCCACCCATAGGTGCGCATTTTTTTTTCAGTGGTGCCCAACACAGGGAGGGGGGCCCAGCCCCAGTTGCCATGGCAGGAAACATGGACTATAGGACTGAGTGTCCCTACTTGATCGGTCTCCCTGTATGTAATCCTATGGGTCATTTGGTTCAAAACTGTCTCCCTTCGCGGGAAAACCTGATTACCTAGACCGGCCTGGAGTTCCACCCTGCAGGACAAGCTGTGGGTATCTGTAAAACAATACAGTGACCATGCCACTGAGAACTGTATTCCAGCTGCTTGTGTCAAGGCAAGTACAAATTGGAGGCTTTGAACAGGGACGCATTGAGGAAGTTTAGGTAGCTGAATGTTCAATAAAGCAAATGTTCTTTGCGCTCGTGCATGGTGAGTCTGTTTGGGGGACAGTTAAGAAGCGTGTGCGGCTTGCAGCCGGGGTCCCTTGCCAGATCGTGGGGAGGAGGGACACAGTGGGGCGCGGACTCGCCCCATGAGTAGCGCAGAGTCAGCGTGCCCAAGCTACGGCTCTGAGCGCCGATGCGCTCCCTGTTGTAATTTGTCACTGACTAATAGCCGCAGCAAATTATATCCCTCGTCTTCCTGTGTGCCATCTCAGCTGTGCTGGCCAGCATGGTTGTCAGGGGTGGGACCAAGGCTCTGTGTCTTCCTGACGCCCTCTTCAGACTCCTCCATGGAGCAGGGGCTAAGCCAGCAGGTGACATCTTCGCTGTGCATGGGGGAATGGCATTCATAAAATGCCCTGATCTCTTGTGGGCTGCAATTCCTGCTTGCCCCAATGCCCCAGACCGAGATCTGGCAAGCCCGCATGAGGGTCTCGAATGCTCCTTTGCATGAGGGTGTGGTCCAAGCTAAAACTGAGCCCTGAGCTTGCGAGTGTTTATAGAGTCCTAGTGGATTTGACAAACAAAAGGAGGTTTTCCTTCATACAATGCACAATCAACCTGTGGAACTCCTTGCCACAGGATGTTTGTGACTACCAGGACTGTAACAGGGTTCAAAAAAGAAGTGGATACATTCATGGAGGATCATTTCATCAATACTTATTAGCCAGGATGGGCAGGAATGGTAGCCCCTGTTTGTCCGAGGCTGGTAGCCCCTGTTTGCCCACCTGGCTCCACCCATACTGCACAGAGGGACGGGCGATGTGCTTGCGACTGGCTGGCTGTGGGGGCGGGTGAGGGAGCCAGGGGCTGGGGTGTCCGCGTGCTTTTCAGGAGAAGGTTAGTGCTGCAGCGGCCGAGGGAGCTCAGGATTTGGGGGCTAGTCGGGCCTTTTCCCACGGAGCCCTGGGGCGAGGCCTCGCACAGCCTGGGGTCAGAGCAGGCCTAGTGCCACCGTACCACACATAGGGCGGGGAGGCTGTTGTCATGACGACCAGCGTAGTGCCTCGCAGTGCTCAGGTGGGAGATGCTACGGAAGGGCAAGGTGTTAGCCGGGGCAGGCCAGGCCCTTGTGCTGGGTCGAGCAGCGTGGCCTCTGGGGGGGCTATGACTGTTCCGGATCGGACGCCAGGAGCCCCACTCCTCTGGGCCAGGCGCTGTACAAACACAGCTGGACACGGGCCTACCCCAAGGGGCTTCCAGCCCTGTGGCGAGCAAGGGGAACGAAATGACGCCTCATACAGCCAGCAGGTCCCAAAGAGCCAGAGCACCTGGGCATCACCCGCTCACCGTGGAGAGCACAGGGCCCCGTGCACAGCAGCTGTTACCGTGGCCTAATGGGAGGGGGAGTGGGCGGCTTGGCGGAAGGGTAAACAGGCCCCTTGGAACGCGGCACGATGCCAACCACGTCCAGGGCACCAGTTTCCCTGTGGCCGTGCTGGTGGGGACCTGGGGCAGACAAAGCCTGGCAAACGCCCAGAC